GTTGTCATAAAACTCTCGATGATACAATTAAACAGCATGATAAAAGCCTATCTAGGGACATACCGTACAAAAGCAATTGCTAAGTTTAAAATTTAGCACTTATCGAAACGCGTCTTGATAGGTATTGATTGATATACTTCAAGTCATTCTACTAGCACACCCACACCCCATTCCAGACCCACCCCACACCCGCAACATACCCATACCGTTACGCGCTCACTCCTAGCCGCACTCACTGTCAGTCTCCTCAGACCCCCCTCGCGCTCCCGTTTTAGAGTTATTCTAAAGCATATAAAGGGTAGAAGAATCTACAAATATATTTTTTTCAGTGTTTTTTAAAACGACCAATGCCAGGCATAGTGTTGAGCGTAATGTTGTCTCGTCTAACTTCCATAGCTTATACACTAGTGTGACGGTTTGTTTCAGACGGTCGGGCAATGTTTTGGGGTCATACAGCCGCTGAGCATCCGTGTTTGAATGGAGGCTGATGAGTTCTTGTAGTTTCCGATTTGATTCTTCAATATTTTCTTGAGCCACTTTTATGTGTATTTCAGGCTTGTTTTCTTGAATCATTTGATCTATATTGGCATATGACACTCGGCATCCATTCATGAATGTGCAATTTTCTCTTTTCCACTCATCGAGACCATCTTGTGGTATTAGTTCACCGACAGCTGCTGTGTCTCCTGTTCTTACGAGAATTTTTGGAATATTGGGTCCTAAAATTGAATCAATAACTTGATAGGTATTCTTAACATATGTGTCAATTCTATCGTTATCAATAACATATATGACAAGATTGAAACCTTCATTATTATTCACCAAAAAAACTATCAAATTCTTTATCATTATGTTTGATGGCCTCCCGCCCAGGTTAGTTTCACCGAAGCCGATTGTGTCAGCAAAGATGAATTCCTCGTTTTTGTATAGAGTGTTTTCAAAAGTTTCACCTCGCTGTTTATTGCTGATGGTTGGCTTTTTTTCATTGTTATCGACTCCACCCATATACCGAATGATTGAACTTTTTCCAACACCTGTTTTACCTATGATTAAGATGCGTTTCTTGCTCAGATGTGTGGAAGCCATTAAAGATTAATTTGCTCGTATTTGCGAAGAGTGTGTGACATATTTGAGTGAAAAAGGTTTTTAACTGCAGCAAAATAACTATATTACTCTTATCATTTTTTTCTACTTCCTACGAAATCGGAGCGAAACAAATAAGCCAGATGTTGCTATTCTTATCAGTTCGAATGAAATGAATAAGCACACGTAGGCAGGTAAACTGGGCACTCGTCATATTTATCTTTTTCATTTTTGCTCCCCTTATCATTAGCAACAAGAGCATTTTAGAACCTGCTGGAGCGTTTATTGATTTCTTTCAAGCTGACAAGAATAATAACATCTGGTTCACTTGTTTCGCTCCGAATTCGTAGGAAGCAGAACAAAAAAAAATTAAGAAGTAATATAGTTATTTTGGTCCAGTTAAAAGCCTGAAATACACATAAA